CCCAGCTCTGTATGAATAAATAAATCTTTAAAAAAAAAAAAAACAGTAATGAAAGACTCAGGCCTGATTAAGCTGCAAGACAAATTGCAGGGGTTGGGGTCTGCTCAGGCAGCAGACGCTGCACGAATGCTGTCGACACTGTCACCAGTGAAGAGACACAGGAGTCCGTAGTTGTCACTCAGAGAACAAAAAGGAAAAGGAAAACAAGGAACACACTTCCTTTGTTTCACCTAGCAGTTGCGCTCCCAGAAAATTTTAAGTCTTTGTTTACGAATAAAATGGTACACGGTGCCGGCTGGGCTCGGGTAATTACAAGCAATTCTTCTCCTCAAGAAGGTTTCACGGGACATGGTGTGGGCTGCCTGTCTGGGGCGCCAGGAGACTCGGCAGAGATTTGCATGCTGGTCTCCTGCCCAGGAAGTGCTGGGGGCTGCCCCCAATCGCTAGAACAACAAAACCTTCCTCTGATTTTACACCCCAGGAATGAGTCGCTATGGAAATTCCAAAAGCATCTCTTTCACAACTCGTCTGTCCTCCCTCTCATATTCTGGGAGATCCTGGATTTCAATCTTGGACTTCCTGTGACAGAGGGCTGATGAGGGAAGAGGGGGATGAAGGCAGCTGGATCCCCAGCCCAGACCCTGATTCCAGGTCCCAGCCCACTCTCCCACCCACCTGCCTCCTCCCTGTAGCACCTTCCAGAAGGTTCTGAACCAAGGCCCCTCTCACTGCCCCAGGGTCAACAGACTCTCTAGCAAGATTCTTTTTCAGGAAATGTGCCGGCCCACTTCCATCCCCCTGGGCTTCTTCCTGGCCCCTTTCCTGACCTTCTGGGAAGTTCCTCTTCTATTCCTTTACGCGCATTTCGATGAGATCTCCAGGTGTTCTGCAGATGCAAGGTGCAGGCGTTTTCGCCAAGCCTCTGGTCCAGAGATGGGGCCCAGTGTGTGGCCAACTTGAAAGGGGACATCGAGGCAGTCCCTCCTAGGAGTTAACTCGCCATCATTTGTGAGCTGGTGCCTTTGGCCTCATTTCTTAACCCCTCTGCTCCTTCATCTCCTCAAAGAAAAGAATGAGGCTGACGATCATACTTGCGTAGAAAAAAGGTTCATTTATCAGGCCTGAGAAGGTGACTGAGGCCAGCAGCTGCGTGAGACCAGGCAGTGGAGCGGGTGGAGAATCTGGAGGAAGCTTCTGAGGGGCGGGAGACACAGAGGTGAGGTGTGTGTATTAAACATGGCGGTGAGGGAGACCTGGTGGAGAAGGTGATAAGTGAGCAAAGAATGGAAGGAGGGGAGGGAGCGAACCACGGGGATACCTGCGGATACGTGTTGGGGGGGGGTTGGCCCTGAGGTGGAATCTGCCTGTGCTGGTCACAGACTCCACAGGGGAGAAGGGAGGCAAGGAGGGCTCCGAGTTCGACTTCCAGTGTAGACAGCAGATGAAAGTGACAGGACCGGGTGAAGGCTGTGGTGGGGACAGAAGAAGTGTGGTTCTGGATCAATTCTGTGAGGCTGAAAACAACAGGACTCGCTGAGCGCTTGGCTGTGGGTGTGAGAAGATGGCGCACTGTGGGTGTGGGAGGCCCAGGCTGTGCCCGGGGCACAGTCCACAGTGAAGTCACTGGTCCTGGCTCCAGAGGCCACTCTTGGGGACGCCTGCGGGTGCCCTGGCCCACATGGCTGTTTCCCAGGCACCATCTGAACAATGCACGCAAAAGAGGCAGGGCGGCCCCAGGGCTAGGAGGATCCCTAGCCCCACGGAAGGAGAGAGAAGCGTCTGTGAGCACCCGGGGGCTTGGACCCGGCCTGCTGCTCTCCACCACCCCCTCAGTCTGAGGCCTTGAGCAAGAGCTGTCTGAGTCTCCTTTTGTTCCCCCTAAAAGATCAAGCCACCCATTGTTGGGGAGTCTAGTGAGGTCATGCGTGCCAGACCGGGTCTGTGAGAGCTTCCCAACGTGCCTCCCCCTTGCCTTCTGTTTGTGGGTCCCCACGGAGTCTCCTGGATGGCTGCGGTCCCCCCAAAGAAGGGAGGTGGGAAGCAGGGCCTTCTGCCAGCCATGAGCCACCGCGAGCATCAGCGTCGAGCACATGTCCAGGGCGCTGGGGTGGCCAAGAACCCCAGCTCCCCCTCCAGGAATTCTGACAAACAGCCACGCGCATTTCTACACCAGGCCACGCAAACCCTACTTATCTCACACCAGTGCCACAGTTGTAAAACTTCCACCTCAGCTCACAGGAGGTGAGGGGTTCAGGCACTGTGATAAGCAAAACTAGACAAATGTCTCTACCCCAGCTCAAACATCTGCAGCCTTAAACCTCCCCTCCCACCTCTGCCAAAGTGGGGTGGCCTCCCTAGTGGCCTAGAGGTTAAGTCTCAGGGCTACCACCTCTAAGGCCTGAGTTCGATTCCCAGCCAGGGAGTGACCCACACGGCATGGCAGACCTCTCCTGACCCTCCCCCCCAACCCTGCTGCTCCCCTCAGCAGTGTACTTCAACAATCTGCCTGTTCTGCTCCCCACTCTGTCTCTGCACCCCAGTCCTTGTACGTATAAATAAATACATAAATATCTTTAAAAAAAATAATAAGATCCCAAGTAAAATTCTATGAATCCCCTGCATGCAGTCCATTATTATTATTACTATTGTTGCTATTATTATTATACATCTATGGCCAATTAATATTGCCATATTATCAGGCCAATTTAAATATAACTGACAATACTGAGCACACTGTAACGGGCACCCTCAGCCTGGCCAAAGGTCTTTATTAAGCAGGCACTGTGTGCCTTTCCACAACAGTCAGCCATCAGCTTATGCAACAAAACAGAAAACTTGGGAAAAGTGAGTAACAAAGACAGCGCAATCCACATCTTCACACCTCCAGTAAATAAAGCTCTAACTCACCCAAACTGACTTGTGTGTGAATTCTTTCCCCCATAGAAGTCAAGAGCCTCTGACCGCCCACTCAGCACCCCTGGGCCCCAGCAGAGGGGGCTGCCAGAAGGGCGCCCCTCAGACATGCCAAGGGATGTGGGGATGGCCACAAAGGAGCCCGCACTCCAGATGTGTGCCCTCCAGATGTGACCTCCGCGTCTAACCCAGTGGCCTGGCTGGAAGTGTGAGGACTGTCCTGAGAGCAGTAACCGCCCACCGTTGTTCATGAGGATTCAACAAAAAAGTGGGGTGCATGTGTGTGTTGGTTACTTATCTACCTGCTCACACTTTCAAAGATGTACAGAGTGAATGTGCAGGAGGATTAGCCATGACTGTTGACAGAGAGGGGGCGGGAGGGAACAGGACGGGAGGGACTGGGGGTGCGCAGCAGGCGTGATGCCTGGGGGTGGCGAGACACAGTAGGTTCACATACTTACTCTGCTCCTGTGGACTTAACTTTTCTGAGCCTCGATTTCCCCCAGACTGAGTCTGGTTCCCCCAGCCACCCCACCTGCTGCTCTCCATCTCAACAGGGGCAGCGCCCATCAGAAACCCTGGGGTGCATTCGGACTTTCCTGTTTCTCACACCCTACCTATCAGGTGTATCCTGAGGCTAGCAAAGGGCCTGTACTCTGCAGCACCTTCCTCAAGCCCCTCTAAGCCGGGGCTGCAAGACTGGACAGAATACCCCAACCTTAGAGCAGGACCCACGAGGGCCCCCACCTGCTTCTCCCCTTTAGGGTGTTCTGCAAGGCTCTGGGTCTACCCACGTCATCTCCAGGAGCTCTAGGACTATTGCTTGAATGGGGCCCCAGACTGGACCCCAAGTCCAGACAGGACGAGCTCAGGGCTCTGTGTCATCAGCTTTTCACATTCCTCCCTTGGGTGGGCCCTGTAGGGGGCGGCATCACCATGCTGACTCTGTAGCCTCAGTCACTCCAGCCCCAGGGTTACTCCAGCCTCCGGGGTGGCAGTGGGGGTGGCGGCAGTGGTAGCAGCAGTGACAGTGCCCTCTCCCGTCCCTGGTACTTTGCTGGACATTCTCTGGGGAACTTCGGTTCCACTCAGCCTCCTGATGGCTGAGGTATCGCTTTCACCCCTTTTGACAAGATGGGCATTGGATCACGGGAAGGCTAGACTGCTGCGTACGGTCACGGGCTGAACCTGGGGACCGGCCAGCTGACTCCTGAGCTGACCGGTACCTGCCAGCGGGGCATCTGGTCAAGGCGGCGATGGAATGGAGTTGGCCTCAACTCCAGATTGTTCTCCAGGTGCAGGTGGAGGCAGATGTGCTGAGTCCCTGGCCCGTCTCCACCAGCAGCCCAGTAACCTGGCTTAGAGCCTAGAGGAATTAGGAGTGGATCCAGAAGCCAGCATTGCCAGTCTCACCTCCATCACTGATGCCTTCTTTCCCCTCTTCTACTAGCCTCACCCCCACGGCCAACCACTGTCCTGGGAACGATACACACACTGGGCTTTTTTCTCTTGTTCTGAGTTCCCACGAACCCGCAACTTTGGTTTTCTGGCCTTGCCATCGGGCTGGTCCCCACTGCCGCCATCTTGGGGCATCTCACCTTCCCACCTATCAATGTGTAAGTTAATGTTTTCATGTTTCATCATTTCCTTCATAAAGCTTTGCAAATTCTTATTGGAGTCATCCTGAGCCACTTTTAGGTTTTTGTTACTTTTCTAAATTTAAAGTTTTCTGGTTTTTTTTTTTTTTTAATTATTCAAAGATTCCCCGTTGGGACATGCCATTCGGTAGCTAAGCATGTTCACATCACAGTGCAGCCGATCTCAAGAACTCTTTTCCTCCTGTAAAACTGACACTTGCTACCTACTTATCAATAACTCCCCAAAGCTCACACCCGAACAATCATCATTCTATTTTGTCCATGATTTGACCATGACCTAGGAGGTCATATGAAAGAAATTAAATAGTACTTGACTTTTTGTGATTAACTTAACTTGACTTAGCATAAGGTCCTCGAGGTCCATCTGTTTGTAAGCCTGTATAATACTTCACTGTGGGAATATGCTACCTACTGTCTACCCATTCATCTGCCAATGGACACACTGGCACATCTTGTGGCTATCATGAAAATAGCTGGTATGAACATGAAACTCAAAATCTCTTCCAGATCTGGCTTTCAATGCTTTTGAGTACCTAGAAATGGAGCTGCAGGATCCTGTGTAGAATTTTTTTTTTTTAAAGATTTATTTATTTGAGCATACAGAACTGGGGTCCAGGCCAGAGGCTCAGGGGCGGTGAGAGGCTTCACCAGAGACAGAGTGGGGAGCAGAACAGGCAGATCGACGAAGTACACTGCGGAGGGGAGCAGCAGGCGGGTCAGGAGAGGTCTGGCTCGCCATGTGGGTCAGCTCTGGGGCTGAGGATTGAACTCACACTGAAGCAGCTGCGGCCAGCTTGCAGTGCTGCTTCCTAATCTGTTGTGCCACCAGGGAGGGCCCTTTCTAGGAATTTTTTTACTACTGAAAATGAACATTTATGATATGATGATGAACTTCAATCATAGTTCCTCCAACAACCTCTTCTCAGAATTAGGGACTTTTATTTCTTTTTGCTGTGAGGACATTCAAACAAATCTGGGTTCAATAAATTAGTACTGGATTACCAGCCTACTGCCTCTGGACACAAAGCAAACTGATTTAGTAAACACATTTTTGATAAATGACTTCTGCCTGAATCACTCATCACCATAATGTGGACGTGTCCTCCAGTCGTAGACCAGCTTAGTACAGGGACCTTCTACACAAGCTGAGAAAATGAAAGCAAAAATATACGCACTTCCAACAGGAAGTTAGAAAAAAATTAATATTTGCATCAGTTGACAGTGTGTGATTCAAATAACAGAAGATAAAGTAAAAGTAATAAACTCCAAATATGTAACTTAAATCTGCATTTATGGAAATGATGTATTTCTGCTGAGTAAAGAAACATAATGACCAGACTTAATAGATCTTACTTAACTTTAAATGTAGCTCTCATTCATAA